GGGGGGGGGGGGGGGGGGGGGGGGGGGGGGGGGGGGGGGGGGAGGACTGACGGAATCGAGAATCCGTACGAGGAGAAAAGCAGAAATGCAACGTTTTGGTTGGGGTCTTTTTGCCCCACCCGCCTGCCCCTTTTGTAGGTATCTCTCTCTTTTTTCTTCTTTTTCTTCTTTTTGCTGAACGGTCAATGGCTTTACCGCTGCATCCCCTCTGGCAAAACTGGCGGGGCAGTATGATTGGGAGGCTGGACAGGTGGAAGGGAGGGAAGGAGGGCCAGAAGGGGACAGGTCACGACTCCTCGTTGCCAGAATCATCGTCGTCGTAACAATCGGCGTCTTCCTCTTCCTCCTCCTCCTCGTCTTCGTCATCGATGTCGTCGTCGTACAGGTCGTCGTAAAGCAAGTCGGAGCTGTTGTCGTTGGAAGGCACTTTAGTTTTGATGCAGTACTCGGCCAGCGTGGTGGGCACCTTCACACCGTCCTTCTCCGCCTCTGCCTTGGTGGCCTGCACTTGTTTCCTGCAAGGGGGGGAGGGCAGGGGAAGTTAGCGGGGTTGAGGTCAGCCTCTGCTCTGACCTTAGGCTTCCTTAGAAAGCAGAAAACACAATCTTAAATCCCAGCAAAACCTCTTTTATTTCCATGGCTGTGAATTACGTTCATTCCCAGCCTGCAAGTCTTCGCGAACAGTCTGTCGGGAATGTTTATAAACACCCACCTTATCACACTTGGAATGCGGCCAGAGAACGAATGGCCAGACATGGCAGGGCAAAGCCAAACCTGACACAGAGTCAAACAGAACGTTTCAAAGCTTGAACTGACCAGACGAACAAATTGCTTCCTGCAAAAGCTCACATCCCGTTTGCTCCTCTTTTATGTTCCATGGGAGGGGCCAATCATCTCCGAGGTGTGGCCTTACTCCTGAGTCGACCCTGCTTTCTCAATTGTTCTTGTCGTCCTCTAGCTCTGCACATGTGCAGGCTAGGAACTGGTTCCAGAAGCTTCCCCGCCTCATTGCTGTCTGAACCTGAAGGCAGTGATTCACTTAACCTGCAGTCATTCACTTAACAACGGAGGGAAGAGAGGTTGTAAAATGGGGCTGAGCTCACTTAGCAACATAAATCTGGGGCTCCCTTGTGGTCGCAAATTGAGGACTACCTATAATAATAAAGGCTAGAGAGAGAGCTGGTCCTCCCTGGCTCTGCCTGGCAACCTTTAGTGCCCCTGGATGAGGAGAGCTGAACTCTTGAGGGCATGGCTAGCGTCGTGGCAAGACGACGCGTCCCTTGGGAGCTCTGGAGGAGGATAGCACCAAATCCAACCTGCCGGGATGGTCCATTTGGACCGAAATCGCCTCAAAGGGGCAATGAACAAAGAGAGCTCACTATGCTGATCTCGGGGAGCCCCGCAAACTCCCTGATCGACCCAGAGAAGCAGCAGCTTAGGATTTCTTCTCTGCCTCTGAGATATATATGTTCCTCTAGAATGAGGGTATCAAACTGGGTTTCGTCGAGGGCCGGATCAGCATTATAGTTCTGCTCCGTGGCCCGGCGGGGAAGAGCAGGCAACGAGGGGAGGAAGACAGGACAGACACCTCCTGCAGCACCTTTCTGGACGAAATGGGGTGCACCAAGGCCCCGCGAAGTCCTGTGCAGCCCATTTTCAGCCTCCATGGCCTCCTGAATCACTCTGCTGGACAAAAACGGACCCCTCCGGGTCATCGCGAGGCCCAGTTTTGACTGGCAGAGTGCTGCTGGAGGCAGAAAATGGGCTGTGCAATGACCGCACGCCCTCAACCCTGCGGCCCATTTTGCCTGGCAGAGGCACCGCAGGCCAGTCCTTTGATATTTCCGGCCCGGCCCCATGGGCCAGAGTTAAACACATTGTGGGCCAGATGTGCCCCCCCCCCGCTCTACACCATTTGTAGCTCAGGGTTGGACTGTGGGATCCTTGATGCTCTCTGAGCTTGGTGGTTTTCTTGCAGACGCTTCATGGCCCAAGTAGGTGACATCATCAGTGCTTAGAGTGGAGATTGGGGAGAAGAGGAACAGGAAGGGGGTGAGAAGGGCAGGAGGAGGACGACAAGTGTGGGGTTCTTGGTAGTTTTCCGGCAGACGTTTCATGACCCAAGTGGGTAATATCATCAGTGCTAGAAGCAATAGGGTTTGTGGAAGAGGAGGACGAAGACCTTGGGGCCCTTGGTGCTCTCTGAGCTTCGTTTTTTTCCTGCAGACATTTCGTGACCCAACTAGGGAACATTATCAGTGGTAGAAGTTGCCCACCTTTTGAGCACTGATGATGTTCGCTAGTTGGGGTCATGAAATGACTGCAAGGAAACAACAAAGCTCAGAGAGCACCAAGGGCCCCTCAGTCCTCCCTCCTCCTCCTCCTTTCCCTTCTAGCATTGATGACGTTCCCTAGTTAGGTCATGAAACGTCTGCAAAAAAACCAACCAAGCTCAGAGAGCACCAAGGACTCCATAGTTCTCTTCCCCCCTGTTCACACCCCACTCCCTTCTAGCGCTGAAGATGTTTATCTAGTTAAGAGTCATGAAATGTCTGCAAGGAAACGGCCCAACTCAGAGAATCCCAAAGAGTCACCGCATCAAACCGTCTCCCCTTCTCCACCAGTTGCTCCCATCGTGGACTTACCGGATGATTTCCGCATATTCTTTGTCTTTCCCTTTGCTGTCTCTCCATTTCCTGAACATAACGGAGGCGTCCACGTTTGCCGGAGAGAATGTGTTGGGCTCATTAAGCAAGGAGATTACGCTCAGTAGGATAGTCCTGGGAAAAGAGAGGAGGAGGAGGAGAAACTGAACTCAGAGCTAAGCACACATCAACAGAATAAACAGAGTTGGAAAGGACCTTGGAGGTCTTCTAGCCCAACCCTCTTCTTAGGCAGGAAACCCTAGACCAACGATTATCCAACCTCTTCTTTAAAAACTTCCAGTGTAGGAGCATTTACAACTTCTGAAGGCAAGTTGTTCCACTGATTAATTGTTCCAACTGTCAGGAAATTTCTCCTTAGTTCGGGTTGCTTTTCTCCTTGATGAATTTCCACCCATTGCTTCTTGTCCTGCCTTCAAGGGTTTTGGAGAATAGATTGACCCCTTCCTCTTCTTTGGGGCAGCCCCTGAGAGATTGTAAGACTGCTATCCTGTCTCCCCTACTCCTTCTTTTCATTAAACTAAAGGTAAAGATTCCCCTGGAACATCCGTGTTAGTTGTTTCTGGCTCTAGGGGGCGCTGTTCATCTCCGTTACAAAGCCAAAGAAGAGCCAGCGCTGTCCAGAGACGTCTCCGTGGTCATGTGGCTGGCAGGACTCAATGCCTTCGAAGGCGCACGGAACGCTGTTACCTTCCCACCAAAGGGGTCCCTATTTTTCTACTGGCATTTATTTATGTGCTTTTGAACTGCTAGGTTGGGACAAGGAACAGGAGCTCACTCCGTTATGCTCGAGATTCGAACTGCCGAACCGCCAACCTTTCTGATTGACAAGCTCCGCATCTTAGCCCCGGAGCCACCACGTCCCCCATTAAAGGCCTAGAAACAGTATATAAAACGTGTTGGGTCCATGTGTTCCCCAACTGCCCTATGGACTGATGCTCCCTCACACCCTTGATGCCTTCCTGTGATGTCCCAGGTTGATTCCAGGGGGTTAGGCACTTTTGCAGGATGTCCGAAAGCCACCGAGCCGCTGCATTCCCCCTTCATTGAACTCGACATCCCCAATTCCTACGACTGTTCTTTGTATGCTTTATCCTCCAGTCCCCTCATCCTCTTGGTTGCTCTTCTCTGCCCTCTTTCCAGAGTCTCAACCTCTTTTTTACATCATGGCGACCAAAACTGGATGCAGTAGTACTCCAGGTGTGGCCTTACCAAGGCCTTCTTTTTCAGACTGGCAGGTTAGGGGCTGCATGCGTGAAGGGGCCCTCCTGGGCTCTACAGGTAGTCCTCCACTTACAGAAGTTCGTTTAGTGACCGTTCAAAGTTACAACAGCCCTGAAGAAA